TACTCAGGAGGCTAAGGCAGGAGAATTGCTTGAACCCAGGAGGTGGAGGTTGCAGTGAGCCAAGATCACGCCACTGCACTCCAGCCTGGTTACAGAGCAAGACTCCGTCTCAAAAAACAAAAACAAACAAAAATGCTACTTAATACCATCTAGGGACTGTTAAGAATCTGGAAACGGTAGCTGGGCGCAGTGGCTCACGCCTGTAATTCCAGCACTTTGGGAGGCCAGGGCAAGTGAATCACTTGAGTTCAGGAGTTGGAGACCAGCCTGGCCAACGTGGTGAAACCCCCGTCTCTACTAAGAATACAAAAATTAGCCAGGTGTGGTGGTGCGTGCCTGTAATCACAGCTACTAGGGAGGCTGAGGCAGGAGAATTGCTAGAACCTGAGAGGCGTAGGTTGCAGTGAGCCAAGATCCTGCCACTGCACTCCAGCCTGGGCGACAGGGCAAGACTCCATCTCAAAAAAATAAATAAATAGGCCAGGCGTGGTGGCTCATGCCTGTAATCCCAGCACTTTGGGAGGCCAAATCGGGCAGATCACCTGTGGTCAGGAGTTCAAGACCAGCCTGACCGACATGGAGAAACCCTGACTCTACTAAAAATACAAAATTAGTCGGGTGTGGTGGCGCATGCCTGTAATCCCAGCTACACGGGAGCTGAAGCAGGAGAATCACTTGAACCTGGGAGGCGGAGGTCGTAGTGAGCCGAGATCGTGCCATCGCACTCCAATCTGGGTGACAAGAGCAAAACTCTTTCTCAAATAATAAATAAATAAATAAGCAAAGGGCAGGGATCATGTTACCTCTCAGCACTCCACCACCGGCCTTCCTCCTGCATCTCTCATCAGACTGAGCATCTCTATGGTCTTAGTTAAAATTCTGAACTCAGCAGGACATGGTGGTTCACACCTGTAATCACAGGATTTGGGGAGGCCAAGGCAGGCAGATCAGGAGGTCAGGAGATCGAGACCATGCTGGCCAACATGGTGAAACCCCGTTTCTACTAAAATACAAAAATTAGCTGGGTGTGGTGGCACATGCCTGTAATCCCAGCACTTTGGGAGGCCAAGGAGTGGGTAAGGCCATCCATTTTCCAGCTAAGA